CTTAGATAATAAGACACAGTGTCAATACAAACTCATATCAGTAAAGTTATTTATATCATTGAACATATTTTTCAAAACCTACTGTTTCTTCAGATTTTAATTTGTATAAAACATTCTGTGAGGATTCTGTAACTTATTCCACATTCAACCCATATCCATCTATTTTCAATTTATGACCGTGACAAGGACTTCATCATAACACTTAGCTATCAGCCCTATCAGCGTTATCATTAAAGGTAAATGGTGGAGATTTTGACCAGTAGTGGTGTAGGTGCAGTAGAGCAGAGGTTCAAACAAGAGAAAGTTGAGGTGGGCAGCGATGTGAGGCTAAGAGACTGCAGGAGGTGAAAGGCAATAAGGGAATTGGAATCGTGGAGCATTTCAGCCGCCATTTTTAGAGGATAGCACCTGTTGTCGTCATTATCTATCACTGTCGATTGACATGACAAGCTAATGTGGAAATGATCCGGCTGGAGTCAAACCCTGGCTTCATTAGCTGTGATGTGTCCTGTGCTGCAGTGGCCACAACTCATTCCCCATTCATCCCCACAACACCACCAGACCACCTCTCCTCTTTCTGGAGACCACAGACTCATAAGAGAGGCCCCACCCAACAGGAAAAGGGTAGGTTAATGGCTATTGTGACACGGGGAAGATTGCGTCTTTCAGTAGAAACAAGGAAAATTATGTAAGGACTGGATGTCCTTGACAGCACAAAGGTAGAGTGGAGGATACAGCAGCGAGTTGTTCATGTGAAAACTTATCTGTTAAAGGAATGTTACAAGAAAACCAAATGCATTCAAAGTGAAAATATTTCTTTCATTAGGATTTGGAAACATTTTGAAATTCAGTTCAAAACGAGTAAAAATAGAAATACTTTGATCATCCTTAAGACACAAATTGTGCCAAAGATTACCCAAAAGGCAAAAAAAATAAAACCTTGAGTGTTGTTTATCTGATTTCAGTGTGGGAAGTTAAAAACATAGCCGCACAGAAATGCACTTTCATCTCTCCAAATGCATCATCAGCCCTGTGATTCACTACCTTAAAAATGTACCCTGACCCAAGATATAAATCAAAGGTCCCACATTCATGAGAAGTACAGATCAAAAGGTTTCAAAAATATTTTTAGCGTTTAATCTTTATTAAAAACACACTGAAATACTGACGTGACAAATTTTGAAGGTCAGTCATCAGTCCACGGTGGGAAGCAGAGGATTCTCCAGGTGAGCTTGACGCTGGTGTGAGTGTATCCGTGCAGTCATCTGCGGTCTTGTCGCCTCGATCGTCTGTTGGGGTCAAAGTGAAATAGCTTGTGTGCTGAAATTTTAGCACTTCGTTGCCCCAGCTGGTCCATCCAGGTTGAAGACTTCGGGCAAACAGCTCCAAGCACTTGGCTTCAGCTCTGACGTGGGGCTTCAATACCTCTACAGACAGAAAGAAATGAGGAAGAGGAATGTTTAACATACTCTTGGCCCTTATTCTACTTGATCTCATTGCATTGTGTATATGCCCGGTTACCTTAAAATTTCGGTTAAGTGCAAACTGCAGTCTATACACGCCAACATCATCATTGTTGGAGGAAGTATTCAGATTATTTACTAAGTATTAAAAGTATTCAGTGCAGAAAATGTCCCATGTAATTGTTATACCATTATATATTATAATGGTATAGTATTTTGTATTGTATAATGGTATTAGATTATTATTACTCATGCATTAATGTAAAAACAGGATTTTTACTATTGTAGTTGGTTGAGGTGGAGCTAATTTTTATCTATTTTGTACAGGGCTGTAATGATTATTTTCATTATGGATTCATCTGCTAATTATTTTCTCCATTTATCGATTGTTTGACTTGTAAAAATGATGAAAACAGTGAGAAATGCTGTCACAATTACCGAGAGCCCTTACATTTTTGTCCAACCAATAATACAAAATTCAAAATGATTAAAACTAAATCGATGTGTTTGTAATGTGGATACAATAAATTGATTAACTGTCAAATTCTATTTATTTAAAATATCATATTTTACAAGCTCTTAATTTGTAAAGTAACTAGCAGGAACTAAAGCTGTAACTATACTAACGCTCTGAAATATAGTGGAGTAGAAGTAGAAAGTGGCATGAAAACACTAAAGTACTTGGTACACAACTAAACATTATATTTTGCCTATAGAGACCTAATAAACAACTTGTTCTGCCTGCCATAGATTTGCTCAACACCAGGTTAAACTGCTGCTTGTTAGTGTTTTTACTGCCCTGTTTGGTTAAAGGTCTGTATGACCTCTAACAGTGACTTCTACATCACATTAGCATGCTAAGAACGTAAACCACAGTTACCCTGATATGAAAAATTGATTTGGACATTTAAACACACATTTGGACGTTTTATTTCTTTCTTCTCGCTATATTTTGGTCTTATCTGCATTTATACTCAATTTCATTAAGTTTGTGCCAATAATGTGAAAAAAACGAATAAAAAGTTGGTCACAAAATTACATTTAAAGGTAAGGTTGTAAGATTACTGCACTGCATCAATTTCTTATGGGGGCACTTTGCTTGTTCCTCTGTAATAGGCAGAGGACAGTACTGGCAACTGCCCAGCTCCTTCACACCACAGCGCAGATTTTTCTACGTGGAGACTGGCAGTGACCTTGAGTCTATAAGTGATGATATTCCAGGAGCGGCACACCTGACAGATACGTTTCACTTCCTCTGCCCCTGTGCTGCTCTTTCTGCTCTTGTGCATGCTCAAACCACCCTGACACTCGCCTCGGCCAACACTTGGAGTTAATGAGCACAAAAGCCTGATCCCCAAACTGATCCAACCTGCACAATGTGGTATCCTGCCTCCCGTTTCCTCTTTCTTTGCACGTCAGAGAGTCACAGAGTGGAAAGGCCAAACATGCAGCTCTCCGACTAATTCAGCCCCAACCGGTGACTCAGCTCTCAAAGTTGAACAGAGAATAAAAGGTCTAATTATCCTCTTAACTCTGAAATGGGACAATGTATGAAACTTCTACAAAGAGAGGCCTGAGGCAAAGGAAGGTGTTACTTAACCACTCTCTAGACAAGGAACATATTCAGTCTTAAGACATTCTGCCTTGAAGGCTCCTCATATTCTCTCTAGGGTTGATGGCAAACTAATTATGTCGTACTGGACTGCTCCTTATTAGATTAGTTCAATTACAGTAGAGTAACTAATTTCTCAATACTATTTTTCTAATAGAATGTTTGCAATCAATAAAATCAATGCCTTTGATTGTCAGCACACATGTGGAGTCCCACAGGGTTTTGTTTTTGGCCCCATCTTAATACTTTGTGAAAGAAATGACAGAAATTCCCACTATTGTGCACTTTTTGTTCCCTGTAAAAATCTGATTAACATCTTTATCTGTTTACAGTTATAGTTTTGAACCTACAATTAAATAAGAACAATGTCTACTGATATGAAGTTAGCAGAGATAGATATTTTTTCCCTCAGGAGTTGGTAGAAAGAAAACAGTAAATACTGGACTAAAACATGTCTTCAAATCAACGCTGTTGCTATGTATCTGCTACATGTTTAAATAGACATCTGTCGCTATATCAACTTGATAATGTGTCAATATGCTGTTTAAAGCGTGTTGCACTCTCCCCATGTAGTTTATAAAACACAAGAGCTCAACTTATTTCTGGAAAAAATATGATACAATCTTAATTTCAGCATCCTTACAATGCTTTGCGGTTTCAGAACTTAAAGAATTTCACAGATCAAATATCAGCATTAGTTACATCTTCCTGAGAGGATCCAAAAATGTAGATCAATATCGAGAATTCAAACGCTCTACAAGCATGTTGCTCCTTACACCCAGTGGACCAAAGTGCTTTTAACCTTTTGACATACTAGTGTCACAAGCTCACAGACCAAAAACAAAAGAAAATCAGAGGAAAACACTATGAATAGCTTGTTATAAATCAGAATAACATTTGATTTTATTATTTTTAAATAGATTGATGAAGTAAAAATCAAAGCTAAATATTGTAGCTGCCAATGAAACACTGGCGCATAGATCACTGTCACAAAACCATTTCCCAATCAACAGTAATGCAACCCACACAATTGGCAGCGTGCCTCTTCCAGAGACGGACAGCCATTTAACCACTAATTATAATACCAAGTTGGGAAGGGACTTCATTTTTCACAATTTCTAAAGTTGTAGGGGGTCCTAATTAATAAAAACCACACGTCTTGTCATTCAGAGAAGTGCAAACACTTTTTTTCCCCCGGCAGCTTGACCATCTGGATGTGTTGTATCTGTAATGGAGTAATGGTGCCCCTTATCTCTCCATAGCAACCAACAATGTCAGTGATAGGAGCCCCATCTGAGAGGAGAAGTGGGTCAGGGTTTCTCGACACTGCAGGCTCGAGGGTTGTGGCTTCACACTACTGAGGCTGCCCGCTGGCTCTAGCAGACCTGACGTGCTCGACATGAACACAAAGTGCTGCAGAACTACAGGGATGATAGCTTGAGACGAGAGTAAGAAAGCTCTGGATGATTTATGCCAAAGGTCTTGGGACATATTTGAAATTTCTAGCAGTTGCATAATCTATTGCAGGAGTGAACAAAATAAAAAGCAATTCATCCTTAAAGCCCTCAAGTGTTTAAATATCATCTCAAATTATTTAATAAATAAACTGTTCTGCTCTTATTGGCATCTGTGCAAGAGTTGGGTCAAGCCTGTCTAATATTTCATGACACCCCGCAATTTATAACTATTGCACTCAAAGATTTGAGTCACACCCACTGCCAGCAGAGCTTTCTCACCTCTTGTAGAAACATAAAAAAAGTATTGGTAACTGGAGGAAGAGATGCTGTTCTTTCCGGTCATTTAGTAGTACATATTTATTTAAAATGCAAAGAATTTTCTATACATTTGTCTTTAATTATTAGTGCTCTTCTACATCTTGTGCAGTCGTGATGATAAAGATGTCGTCAGCATTACGAGCTTTGAGAAAATGAAGTAAATGGAATAAATAAACCTGTTCTGATAAAACCTGCTGAGGGGCTTTGAATCACACAAGCAGACTGAACACAATCTGTATCCTAATCTACTTAATCCCTACGGTATCACAGCTCCACAATGGCATGATTATGATTTAAAGCGATGTATTTTAACAATAACCAGCCACTTCTATGAGGTGGAGGCTTTTATGTGCTTCTGAAAGGGCACCGGCAAACACTGGCTGTGTTTTGCTCTCCATACTGCACAATAAATCGCATTCCCCCGAGAGGGAGGGAAATGACGTCAAGCCTCTCCTTTTCATACTCCCTGCATATTCAAGGTTTTACGCTACGTTTTCTAAGTAGAGTCCATGTTGGAGTAAAGTCTTGGCATAGCACAAATCTGTGCAGATAGGACAAATTTGATCAAATCTGAGCAGCAGACAGTCCCGATCTGATAAATCAAACCCGTCAAGGGTTGAGGATTCAAGTCCTCCAGTTATTACAAATACAACAGAGACCCTTCACGTTGTGTTTGAGCGGTTTTCTCACCTCCAACGTAGGCAACTGCAACCATGGAAATGTCAACTTTCAGCAGTGGAAAAGCAAGTTCTACATTGAAAAAGTGTCATATTTCTATTTTAAAAATTAAATTTTTGCGTATTGTAACCATCTTCTAAGATGGAATAAAATCACAAAGCCTCATTTTAGATTTCAGCAATGCAAACCTAAAGAACTGACTAAGTACGTTTGCATATGCTATAACAGGCTGTAGTAGGATTTAGAGCTTATCAGTGAAGCTGTATAGAGAGATAACAATCTCTGATGTTGCAGCATTGCCCTCTGGTGGCATAGTAAAACTGTACTTCTTAGATAAAGCAAGTAGTTTGGCACTCATGTTGAAAATATTACCTGAGAGTGAAGGCTTCTGGGAGTGGAGGGCTGATGGGATGCTGACAATCAAACGCTGATCCTCCACAGGAACCTCTGACGTCTCTGAAGAGCTGAGAGTAGTTAAACAAGTCTGAGAATGAATATGATTTGTATATCTTTCATTTAAGGGTTATAGCATACAGAGTATGTAAAGTGACCCACAGAGAAGTCAAACATTTTACACCTTGTGGATTTATCTGCAGAGGAGCGATATCGGCCCAGTACCAGCACTTCATATGGCTTCTTATGATGTGAATCTAGTGGAAACACAAACTGTCCAGATGTGGTGACCTGAGGGAAAAGAGCAATCCCTTAAAACATCAGGAATAACACTAAAAAGGTCAGACTTTAATGACTGAGAGCTGTATCTATTCAAAATTTGTTTACCTTGACCCAGAACCATTCAGCCACAACTTCAACCCCCCAGTGCGGATACAGCTCATCACGGACAAAACGCAGGTGGCTCGGCCGGTTTGTGACCCAGGTGACCACTAAACAGTTTGGAGACGCCAGTAGAGGTATAGGAAGCCGTTTCAGCTGGGTTGAGGGCAAAGAACTGTATCTTCATAGACACAACAGATGTATCAAAACGTGCGTACGCAGAATCCCACGCACATTGTCTTTGTACATCGCAATCAACGTGAAATTGAGC